TATATATTGTAAAAATTTTTTTGAGATATTGCAACGTTTATATTGCTTATTTTCTGCATCTACAAAGAGATGGGAAATTGTACAAAAGCATTTAAACATTACTCTTAAATCATTATGTGACACTCGTTGGGAAGCCAAAATAGATTCGGTTAAAGCAGTGTATATGTTACTGTGAAAGACCGACATTAGAGAATGTCGATATTCTTTGGTGAATGTCAACACATACAAAATACGTTGGTGAAAGACCGAATATTTGGTTATATTATTAAACATTCGAACAATCGCCGGTGTATGTCGACAAGCACAGATAATCTTTGGTGGAGGTCGAAACGACACCCGAAAAGCCGATATCGACAGTGAGGCGACAGTCTGTCGCCAAATCCTTTGTGGATAGTCGGAGGTAGGATAAGGTCGTACCTCTTTTCCTGGCAACGGTTTGGTGGAAATCGCCCACTTTGTCACTGGATGGAGTTTTTGTTCTTTTGATCCCGTGAGGTGGGGATCGGTTAGTCAGGTCGAGTGGCGGAGGATGAGAGGGGTCGTCGGTGATATCCGAATAAAAGACACCATTAACAGATCAGTTCGTAATCACGTAATTACGTAATCAGGTTGTAATTTGTAAAGAAAAGTTACTTTTCATAGATGAGATTTCTTCTCAAGAAATATCGCTGAGTAAAGCAGCTATAGCTAAATCGAAAAGTAGAGGGTAAGGCTATACAGTAGACTCTCCTATAACACTGTAGATATTTCCGTGTTATATGAATTCCATGTTGTACGAGTCACTTAGATTTTACAAATACGTGAGCCGTTCACAGCTCGACACACGTATTTGTAAAATCTAAGTGACCCCCTACAGTGTTATAGGGGTCTACTGTACACGCTGTCATTGCAAAAAGAAGTGTTTTACGAATAAATGCAGTTGTAAAAGCAAGGGACTCAAAGTGCCATAACAGTAAGTTATTGCAATAAATAAGATTGTACAAAGTCAATCACATAATTTATGTGTAAGTTTATTATTGTATTATATTCTTTAATGATTTAGAACGTGCTGTTCGTTTTAGGTTCAACAGTTTATTTACATGTGCCGTTACTTAAGCTTTCTTTTATTTTGACATATTAACGAGTTGCATTTTTGTCTTAACGTAATAAAAANACTTCAAAACAGCTTAGATGGTAAAAACTTTACTTCCTTGGAAGACTTGAAAAATCACTTGGATCAGTTTTTTAGCCAGAAATCTCAGAAATTCTATGAGCACGGGATTATGCAGCCACCGGAAAGATGGAGAAAGGTCATCGAACAGAATGGCACATACTATATAGATTAAATGTAAGTTTTAGTAAATAAAATTTTTCTTTGATTCTTTTCAAAAAAACGGGACGAACTTTTGCATCAACCCAATAATAAAATAATCGCTAAATAAAGCTCTTACAATACATACACTTCGCGCGCGATCCAGTTTTTCTCTCTACTTGCTACGCTGTCTAGCAAGTAGGGTTGGTTTCTGGAAACAAAAAAAAACCACCACAAAGTGGGTGTCACCTTGACGTGGTTTTGTGGCTTAAGTGAGAAAATTTTATGATAATTCTGGAAATAGAATTTTCTACAAACCAAGAACACCCGACAGCATTAATTTTTGAAGTTTTCAGTGCTGTTTCAGAGCTTTACAGTTAAGAAACTAACATTTCCATGTAACAACAGGTAACGGATTTGTTCTGACTTCTTGTGCAAATAACAAATACGTAAGTAATATACCAGATACATCCAACACACCTTATTGCTGAGAAACATATATTGATTACACAAAACTAACGTTTTCGGCCCAATTTATGGGCCATCTTCAGGTTACCGTTGTTCGACTCTAATACAAAATCGAACACGTTCAAAATTAAACCAAATTAGAACATACGTTTAAATTAAACCAATAGAATAAGCATAACCAAACTAAAACAATAAATAATAAAAAACCAGTTATTTTGAGGTGAACAATTTAATTAAGGTACAGTTAGTTG